CCAACTCTTTTCACAAGACTGTTTCCCCATTTTCCTGCAGGTTAGCAACTCAAAGACAATGCTGGCATGTCAGGGGTTTCCAGCCCTTGGCCTCCATGACCAATGCCCACCCAACTACCAGCAACTGTGGTTGATCCCACACCATACTGGTCACAGCCTTGAGACACTAAGGATAACTATTTAGATAAATTATCCCCATGCAGGATATTCCTTCACTGGGTGTGAGCCAGGCCATAAGGACTTCCAAAATTCTGTATTAATATGTCTTAGAGGAGTTAGTGAAAAATGGTCATCATAAAGGAGAGGTAAAACTGATTTGAGAATGTTCACTGAGACACTCAGACATTGAGCAGACATACTTTACTAATGTTTCACTTAATCCTTTACGAATCTGTGAGGTGTTTCTTAATCCAATCAAGTTGTTAGATCAGGATTAATGGTCACAGTGATGGATCTTGAAATCTTAGTGGAAAAAGAATTATTTTGAGGGTGCTACCTAAACTCAACATCCAGGATCTGATCCAGTTCTATTGACTTGGAGGGCCACACTTCTTTCTTCATGGTGATGTTTCTTAAGCCTGACACTGCCTAAAAATTGTCTGAGAATTGTGTAATGAATCGTGTAATGAATCTGGGATGTCCTCGGAAATTCTAGGACACAGTAGTTTTCTTTGTAACAAGTAAACAGTGAATGTCAATTTGGGAGGTCAGTGAACCAGTCTATAAAAAATGTTGTGTTGTAAGTGTTTTATGTAAAATGCTTGAGATGGAGTAAGCAGAAGGGAACTGGGTTACCCAGCTAATTGCTTACACTCTCCACTCCATGAAATAATGATATCCCACGTATTCGAGTGTCTTAGTCAAATAACATAACTCAACCTGAGCTCCCATGATGAGTGATACTGCAGTAGTTTAGGCAACAAATTCAGCAAATTTATTTTCCCACTTCTACCAGGTTCCTTGGAGCACACAGATACGCGTGTGCAGTGCAGGTCTGGAGACGACTTCAGCATGGCTTCACGTCCCATGCGTCGGTTTTCCAGAAAGCAAAAGAACTGTGTTCTGTTGGGAGAAAAGAACATCCACAGTCTAAGAGATGCAGTGATTTCTCAGATGTATTAAATACAACAGACCTCATTATATAAATGAAAACATTCCGCGTTATCTTAAGTGATGGAAGACACAATGGAGGCTGTGATAAGGCACTTCTCTCCAAGAGAGAAAATAGAAGGTTTATTAACTCTGACAATCAAGATTTTTTTAAAAAAAATTCTCAACTCCTTATTTATTCTCAAGTATACTACGGGCTCCTGCAAATGCCTGAAGACCATAAAGGAAAAGAGCCTAAAATACATATCAACAAGCTCTGATTTTTAAAAACAACTCTCTTCTATTATTTTTCTACTGATTTGTACAAACTTATTGTCTTTGTCAACGTTAGCATTTAACATCTTGCCAGGGCTCTGGTACCTTTTGAACAAGAACAACTTATTCAGTGCGCTTGTAAGGCTTTGTATTTATAATGCTATTATATGTTATTGGTCGTACTGTATTATGTTATTGGTTGAGCATTTATTCCACATCACGCATAAATAACATTTCTAATAATTAAACAAATCTTAGGAAGTGGGCCTTGCTGATCAGTTGTTTCTTTTTCCTCCTCTAGCAGGTGACTTCTTAGGTTTATCTCCTTTTAGCTCCATCTGCATTCAGCAGTCCTCTCTGCTGTCAGCATAGTGTTGTCATCGAAGACTTTTAAACCCGGAGCCAACAACAGCGACAGCTGTCAGCTAGCTCTTCCTTCCTAGCAACAAAGATGCTTGCAGCCTAAACCCCCGAAGGTTAGCATTTAGTTCTAAGTGGTGGCTGCTATATCTTCTTTTGTCTCACATCAACATAATATTGTCTCCCTTAAAATATTTTTCAGTATTGAAATACGTTGCTCTAAAGAATAATTTTCAAGCGAGGCATTGATGAAAGAAAATAAAAGTTAAGAGATCAATAAACTAATTGCTACCACAAAAAAATTCTTGATAATTTGGGATGAGTTGTAGAAAATTCGATTCAGTATTATTATTCAAGCTTAACTTGGAATTGCACAAGGTGGTATAACTCACCTGGACACTTACTGAGTGAAATCGCAACTCAGAGTTTTAAGGGAAGGAAAATGTCAGTGCAGGCTAGCCTTGCTTTCTCTGATTGCTGAGGCTTCTCACCCTCTTCTGGAAACCCCACTGGCCAAATGGCCCACTCACCCTTGAAGCATTTGGGGACTTCAATGGTGCCATCTAGGCACTGAGCCTCCTCTGTGTAGCTACACTTCTTTTCCTTGTTTTTGCAGAAGAAAGACACTTTTTCACCATGCAGCATTCCATCCTTAAATTTTTCTTGGAACTTCACTCTCTGTCCTTGGTACAGTACAGTGGCTTTCGTAATGGATAACTTACAAGATGCTGAAAAAGAGAATATCTGTAGTCAAGATTTAGGAGTCCAGTGACTCTTTCTTAAAGAGAATAGAGGGGGATTATTTTTTTTTGGTTTTTGATACTGGGGATTGAACCCAAGACATCATACATGCCACCATATCTCCCTCAAAATAAGGCCTAACCAGAAAAGAAGCCCTGCCATGATTTTTCAAGATGCTCATAATGTAAACCCGACTTCCAAAATAAGCCCCAGCCAAAACTGTCAACCAGATGGGTGCTTTAGTGGCAACACCCAATAAAACTCTTCAATTATGAAATAATATTACTCAAATGTGGTTAATATAAATAACATAGACATTAATAGTTAAAGTAAGTGATAATATGAATTATAATTAAGTATTTATAAATATCCAAGTGGGGATCTTTGGACAAGAGATAAACCTCTGTGTACACTGATAAACCCAAGATGCTGGCAAATGACCGATTGGAGTATGGACGCAATACACAAATAATGCACGCACTTGATACCAAGCAGATGCAGTTTTGCCTTAAAAGGATCTTCATAATTCAGTAAGCACGTGTTGTAATGGATGTACTTAGTGCACTTATGTGAAATAGATAAATAAAGTTTTCTGAATTTTGGTGCTTGAAATTTTTCATTGCTCTGTACAGCCTATCATTCCTAACTGTCATCATTTTTGTTGCCACACCTGTCTTGTAATTCTCTTTAATAACACTGAATTTAATGAAAACTAAGTGAAGCCTAGCCTACAAGAGGTCGTGCCTTGGGTGAAGAATTCACGGGATAAAATCACTGACAGCTAACCGTGTTGCCAGTGCACTAAAGCTGGCCACATGGATAAGAAGCGCTTATCCAAGGACAGCTGGACCTGAGAGACTGGGCAGGTGGTTCTACAGGAAATGGAGGCACAGGGAATTCAGGCTGAAATCTGAGGTTTACAGAATTATGACAATGTTCCAGGAAAAGATAACATGACTATATTTGAATAATGTAGATTTTTTATGCATGAAAAAATGATAAATTATAGATTGTTATACATGGATAAATGTTGATTGTTGTACATCGAAAATAAAATAGTCCCTGAAAATAAACCCGATTGCATCTTTTGGAGCAAAAGTTAATCTAAGACTAATCCTTATTTGGAGGGAGTAAGTAAGCACATTATCGCTGAATTACATTCCCAGTCTTTTTTATTATTTTAAGACAGAAGTTAGCTAAGTTGCATAGGCTGGCCTTGAACTTGCTCTTCTGGCTCCGACTCCCAGGTGCCTGGGATTACACGTGTATGCTGCCATGCCCAGCTTCAGAGTATAACCTTGGAAGCAGTAGATGAGTACACCTAAAAGCAACTGATCAAGACAAGGGGATTCTGAAAATGTACAGTGAGTAATGTCGACGCAATTGCTCATAGCTGTTCCCTGTCACCAGAACTATTACTCATTCTGAAGTGGCCTTTTCTTCCCCAACAGCAACCACACAGGTCAGAGCAGAAGCATCACACTGTTGGCATCCGTGAAAGAAATATCTTTGTGTAAGCTTTTGTGTGGACCCACCAGCTCATTGGTTGAGCTAAAGCATTCATCTCCCAGCCACTGTGAGTGTGGGTCTGTGACCTTTCTCTGAAAAAAAATTACCTCACCCGTAAGAAAACCACCTCTCCCGGCAGCTTACGACAGCTACCCACCCCCACCTTTAGGGCCACAGCCTACAGGCAGTGGAGCAGCCCACAGCTAAGGACAGACTGGTAAGGAGATACAAAGAGCAGATCACCTTGTGTTGCTTGGATCCACTCTTAGCAACAATTCATGCTCCAGAACTCCTAGTGGGACCAAAGGGAAGCCTTACGGTCACTGAGACCACATCCTTGTTTAAAACACAGCAGCCTTGGGCCGGCCTGATAGCTCAGTGGACTAAAGCGCCTGTTTCAGCACAGTGCAGCGGCCGGGGTTCGATCCCTGGCATGGTGTGCTGTGCCAGCCCCACTCATGGGGCACACTGTGATGGTGATTGAGACTGGGAGTGGTGGCACATGCCTGTAATCCCAGCACTTGGGAGGCTGCAAACAGGAGAATCACTGTGAGTCCAATCTACATAGTGAGACCCTGTAGACCCTGTCCTAAATACAGAGAAAAAATAAAACATAGCAGCCTTAAGTATCAGCTGGAAATTGCATTGAAATGCAAATTCCCAAGTGCCATCCAGGATCTACAGAATCCAAGACTCTGAGGGTAACGCCCTCTAGGGCATTCAGATGAAGCCGCCTCCTCTTGTCACATTCTGAGACAATAAATTAATAGCATTTGAATGCTTGTCTCACACTTGCTCTCTAGGAGCTTTCTGCCTACGACACCAGTCATTCATCGTTTTGCCTGATTTGGCCATTTTTTTTTTTTCTTTTTTAAAAGCTGTCAAGCCCACAGAAACTTGAGCAGAGAGACACTGGTACAATGCTGTTCTGTGCATAAGCATGACACTCACTGGATCAAGATAGAATCCTGACTCAGAAGGTCCCAGCATCTTGGGGCAGCGATGCCACCTTGCAACAAATCCCTCAGTTGAGAAGCTGTGGTATAGAGTCAAACCAAGATCAAACAATTGCAAGAGTTCCTGACTTTCAGTTTCACTCTTCAGGACTATCAGTTGCTGCGGCTCATTTCCTCACCTGCCTCTGTGCTTTTGATAAACAAGCTCCCATTTCCTTGAGCTAACTTGAGTGGGCTGTGGCCTTTTGTTTGCAACAAGAAACTTGAGTCCACAGAGCAAAACTGTGTGCTCACTGGCAAAGACTTAGAAGCAAATACTGGAAGCCTCAAGGATTGTACGCCATGTGTACACTAGATCCAACTCATAGTGATCCACATGTTTACAGCCTCCCAAGAGCTGGGATTACAGGGTCGCACCACCATGCCCAGTCTCAATTGCCGTCTCAGCGCGCCTGGGGGGCAAGTCTGGCTCAGCAGGCCTGGGGATCGAACCCCCAGCCCTTAATCTGCTGAGCTATTTGGCTGGCCGTGTACACCATATTATTAAAACCTAGAAAGGATCTGTTTATTTCTTGTAGTTGAGTCTTAAGCAAGCTTCCTAAGCATGAGGCTCCCCTCTGCACACTCATGACTAAAGTCTTCCATGTGCCCAGAGCTCTGCACTAAGTTAAGCAACAAGTCGAATACAAATAAAATGAGAAAATGCTGAGGTGCTCCAGTACATCAATTAAAGAAACCTTGTAAGATCTCACCCCAGTTGTTTCCATACCTTTGCAACTTGGCTGGGCAGACCAGTTTCCCCATTTGGTGCATTCGACTTCTTCTGGGCCTTCCAGGGTGTACCTGTCATGGCACCCATAGGTGGCTTTGTCCTTGTATAGGAGAACTTGCTTTGCGGGATAGTTCACAAATCCATTATCTGGTCTTGATGGGAATGGGCATTTGACTTCTAAAAAGTTTATTAAATAAGACAGTGATGAGTATTTTGGGGTCAGCATTATTCTGGGTGTCTCAGTGGCTTGAATGCAATTTCGAGGTACTTTATGTAGAATTATGTCCTGATCGCTTATATTTATAGGACGCTGGGCTTTTAAAAGAGAAACAAGAACAATCTGAAAGTAAATAATGATATTCTACTAAATTTTCTGGGTTTTCACACATAATTATAACTTATTTATTGCAAATTTATTTATTATTTATTGCAAATTTTCACAGTCTAAGATGTTGGGTTTCAAAGAAGGGAAAAATCTTTTTTAAATCAAGAAGCTATGAAATTAAAATGCAAAGACTACTCCCAGTATACATTTAATGTTCCTAAGCATGAGGCTCCCCTCTGCACACTCATGACTAAAGTCTTCCATGTGCGCAGAGCTCTGCAGTAAGTTAAGCAACAAGTCGAATACAAACAAAATGAGAAAATGCTGAGGTGCTCCAGTACATCAATTAAGAAACCTTGTAAGATCTCACCCCAGTTGTTTCCATACCTTTGCAACCTTTGAACCATTTTTGGATTTGAAATGCTAGGCCAATATTATTCTTATCTTCAGACTACGCACTACAGCAGTGCAAAATATGAGAAAAACAGTGACCTAAGTGTAAGAAAACAAGTGACCTACAGCTCTAGTGACTTCAAATCAAACACACAAGGCTAGAGCTAGGAGCACAGCGTTCTTGGAGAGTTGCTTGATGAAGTAGCTAAGGTTACAGACCCCAGGGGCTGAGTCCTGGACTCATATTGGGCTCCATCACACAGTGAATTAAAAAGTATTTAATACTATTACAAATATGGGGGGAGTTGCTTTCTACATAGGTTAGCCAGCTAGTAAATGGAAATGGAAAGGAAATAACCACTTTCCACCTCCATGACGTGATTGATAGTGCCAAGCAGGATCAATAAATTCCAAAATGATTGCTAGAGATGATATTCATATGTGCTCACAGTCTCAAAGGATCACCCACAAGTTATTTATCCCCTCCAAAGAAAAAAGGTGGCTTAACCAAAGGTGGTCTGGAACACCCCACTTGGCTGAGGGTTCAGGGCTCACACCAAGCACAAGTCATGCTGGACCAACTGATACTATGTGCTTCCTGAAGTTATAGAAGTATTTGGTGAAAATATCTAACTTGAATGTAATCGTGGGCAAGTCCCCAGACTTCAGATTATGGAACATTCTTCAAGCAAACAGCCCATGCTCTTCCAAAATGTCAATGGGAAGCAATAAAAGAGGCAGTGAATCATTGTTTAAGAGGACAAAAGAAGCACGACAACTAAATGCAGGCTGTGATTCTTACTTAGAGCTTGATAAGACAAAGCACTTGTGCAGAAGACTTCTGGAGTAGTTCCAAACTCAATGTCAACTAAATTTTGCATTTTTTGATTGCTTGTATTTTATTATTTATGTTATTATTGTTAATAATTCAAAATATGCTAAAGGGCGTGGGAACACTGACAGCATAGAATGCTCTTGTTCTTAGTATAGTCATGCTGGCATGTTTTTGGGTGAATGATCTAGACAATTCATTTTCAGATGACCCTGGGGAATGAAGGATTTGCCTATGGAGAAAGAGAGAGACAGTGTCACACACTGTTAATACTCCCATTCTCAGGTGAAGTGTTCAAACAAGGGAAAAAAAGAACCTCTCGGTGGCCAGGGAGATAGCTCAGTGGATTAAAGCGCCTGCTTAGGCAAGGTTAGGCAAATGCAGGGACTGTAGTTTGATCCCTGGCACCACAAGCCACACCAGCCCTGCCTTCAGGGTGGGTTGAGCCAGCTACACACATACAAAAATAATAATAATAAATAAATTAATTAATTTTTAAAAAGAACCTCCAGCTTGGGATTTGGGAGAATTAACAGGGATGCCACCATACAGCGGGAGGGCCCAGCCATTGTGATGCTAGTTATTGTTTTCCTAATAATTCCCCTATGCTGAAATTCACTTACATTGTGGATTATTTGGTACACACCCATGAGATCCCTGGAGGAGTCAACAGCCCTTAGACTAACTCCTTGTAGACATGATACATTCTCTAATTTGTGTATTTGTCCTGTTGCTGACAGATAAGTTACAGGGGGAAGAACTTTCTTTTCTTTTTCTGTGCAGGGTCTCACTATGCAGCTTGGACTCGCAGTGGTCCTCCTGTTTTCTGTCTTCCTAGTGCTGGGATTATAGGCGTGCGACACCACACCCCAGCTCCATTGCGGGCTCAGCATGCCCAGGGGCAGAGCCAATGCTGCATGTGGTGCCAGGGATTGAACCCTCGCCCCTGTGCTTACCTAAGCAAGAGCTTAGTCCGCTAAGCTATACAGCCGGCCCTAGAACTTTCATACTTTTTAAAAAGAAAATCAAATATTCCTGCAATGTTTAAATGTATGTAAAGAACGCATGGACATAAGAATTGGAATGCAACTTAACTTTTCTCTTCATGTCCTAATCCAGGCCTCACTTCCCCAGCCTCACAGAAACCGTCAGCTCTGTATGGACACACTCTGCCTTTGTGTGCCTCTCTGACTTGCCATTGGCTGTGCCGCTACAGGGCATGCGCGGCGCTCACTCTCCAACCCTCCTCCCAGGCTCATCGCAAGGGCCTCTGAGTCTGGGCAGCTTTCCCAGGCAGCTCCGGATAGTAAATTGCAAGATATTTAATTAGCTTTGGGTCAGAAGCAGATTTAACTCATCTGATACTCCCAGCCCTCAGTGCACTGTCTGACATATGGTAAATGCTCAAACATCTGTTGAATGAGGTCATTTGAAATATTACAGGATAGTTACAATTTTCTAACATTTTTCCCAACTGGAATTCTATGCTCCCATAACCTTTTGGCCATTGCATTCACTTACCCCTGCACTCAGGTAACTCTGTCCAGTTCCCCTGGGCTGTGCAGGTAACCGTAGCGTTTCCAAACATGGCATGATGTGGCAAGCACTCAAAGACTGCTGTATCCCGATAGAGGGAGTTGTTCCCCGCTGATGGCTTGTACACTTTGAGTGTTGCAAATTTGGGTACTGCTGGTGGAGGGCAGGTTATGGCTGGAAAAAGCGAGAACTATCACTTCAGTTGCAACAGGTGAGATTTTAAAATATATTCTTTCCAGAAGAAAGCAAAAAAGAAGAATGCCCAAAAAATGAACTTCAGAAAATTACAAAATTTGATCCAACAGTAGGGTAAAAACAGTCAATTATTGATGCCAATTAAGGAAATGTGATACATTAATTACATGTTCAAACCAGTTTTAGAAAACTAAAAAAAAAAAAAGAAGAAGTAAATCTTGCCACTGCAAATTCACCTTTCTGCAACAATACAGTGACTAGGTTTCCCTAACATCTTTGTTCTAAATGCTACCTTGGAAGGTGTTTCTGGAGGCAGAATTCATGGAGGACCTTGCTGAAGAGTCATCCTGAAGGAATGACCCAGAGCAGCACTAATACCAAGGTGTCTGTGACACCTGAGTTCCATTGCTAGCTCAGTGTGTTGTCTGTTAAATACTTCTTGCTTTTGAACTCTGTGTGTGGGCCTCATCTATGTATGGTCTATCACCCAGAGACACGGGCGTCACTCAGCCCTGACCGACATGGAGGGTCAACGAGTGCAGGGAAGGCTATGCAAACATAAAGGATGGTGCAGTCCCAAACGTGACCTAACTTGGACTCTCTTGTTCCTTGCTTCTCAAAGTAGGATCCATGGTCCAGCAGCTGAGTGTTACCACAAAGGACCTTGTTAGAAATGCAGAAACTCAGCACCCAAGATGCAGGACTCAGAGTCTGCACTTCAACAGGACGCCTAGGTGATTCATTAAAGGTTGAAAAGTGCTTATTCAGATTGGATTGAAGCTAAGGCGGCCTTTCTATCTGGAACCAAAAGGAAAAGGTTTATTTACATAATTGCTATAAAGTTGCTTAGAAGAGAAGCTATAGGAACCGTGGTGATTCCTCCTGCTGAGTGTAGAACTCAATTTATCCTTAAAAATCTTTTTTGTCATTTAGTTTTTGTTGAACTGGGATTTATTTGGAATTGAATTATTTCCACTTGCTTTTTCTAGGACAGAGCTCATGGCAAATCTAAAGAAACATAGCTTTTATTCTCATGTGTGGGTATTCTGGCCAAAATTGGACTTACGTAAACCACAAGTCAGAACATAGAAAATTACCCTCCCTGTAGGAGCAAAAGCGAAACTGCAAAAACAAAAATAACGTTTACAGCAAGCTCAAAATCTACCCCATCACCTTACATCCAGGAGCTTACTTCAGCGAACTAAAGTGCCTGCTTAGGCAGAATGCAGCAGCTGGGCTTCGATCCCAGGCGTTCCATGCTGCCCCTGCCCGTGGCACCCGCTGAGTGGGTGGTTGAGACAGGGTGTGGTGGCACACGCCTGTAATCCCAGCACTTGGGAGGCTGAAAACAGGACAATCACTAGAGTCTGATCTACGCAGTGAGACCCTGTCCTAAATACGTAAGAAAAGAAACACTCGATGTCTCCACATCTAGGAGCTCACTGAGATTCCACCAAGAGTTACTGGTGCCTCCATCTGGTTGTGTTCGCCTGAACAGTCAGGGGCAGTTTGGTTGATTTTTTATGTTATATTATCTGGCTCACTCCACTGGAGCAGAGGCGTCACCTCTGACCCTGTAATCTCAGTACTGAGACCATATCTTAGGTTCTCAATTCACACTTATCAGAGAAGTTAATTAATTAATTAATTAATGAAAATCCAAAGTGTAAGGAAGAGGTTTGATCGCACTGCTTGCAGGCCTTCTAATCAAAGGTGGCGGTCATTGAGTGATCAATGCCACAAATATCCAAAGCAATATAGGAGCTTTGAAATGAGCAAACCCAACAAAGACTGGCTCCGCCAGGTGGAAGGTACAAAGTACATTCAGGAGTGAAATGCTTCCCTCTGTCATTCCAGTGCACGTTGTTCCATCCTCCAAAGCAGGGGATGATCATTCCTCAGATTGTGGTCAACCTTTTTATTGAGTCAGGACTGAGGGCTTTCTGGGATGGGTGACTGTCAGGGCTAAAGACTAGAAAAGTTCTGGGTGAGCCAACTGACTGTGCGGCCTGTAAAAGGGACCAAGAGACTCACGGGCACAGACGGGAGGAACTGGGCTCCATCTCCCTTCCTCAGTGCACTTAGCTGAATTAGTTCCATTCAGATGATACCTGCCAAAGGGAAATTTAATCTGTCAAGCTGTAAAATAAACTATGGTTGACATCACAAATATATAGGGATTGAACCCGCGGGTTTGCATGCTCAGCACGAGCACTTTCACTGGGCTCAGCTTTCCCCCCCAGCCCCTCTGGCCTCAAACCTTGAGCACAAGTACCCTCCCGCCTCGGCTTCCCCTTAGCAGGAATCCACCACATCAAGCAGTACTGCTGACTACTGTCACATCTTAGGACATTGTTTTTCTGAGTATTTTAATTGTCATCTTAGGGCCAAGAGAGCGTCCCAGCTAACGCTACAGGCTTCCACTTGAGGTTACCCTCGCTGATGGGTGTAGACGCCATACCCCTAAATCTCTCATTTCCAGCCAGTTAGACAAGCTAGCTGCATCTTACACACAGCAAAGACCCATCTCTCTTTCAGGGTGACAAAAGTGAGTCAAAAGGGATTATCTCTACTGTTCACTATCTTAGTGCCTACTGACACAAATGTGTAAAAAACAGTGGCATTTATCTCCAATGAAAATGTAACACACACACACACACACACACACGCATAAGAAAATGGAACATTGTATCATCGAGGCCAATTTTTTAAAGGTCATTTGTCATCAGATCTATCAATACACTGGCATTTCTGAAGAACTGATTTTCTCTTTCACTGTCATATTTTGAGTCTCCAGTCCCAAACAAGAATCCTTACTAGGGCTGTGGAGATGGCTCAGTGGAATAAGCACTTCTCTGGCAAGCGCAAGGACCTGAGTTCAATCCCCGGTTATAAAAAAAAAAAAAAAAGAATTCTTACTAATGCTGTGTCCCAGTGTACAGCCACGGTGCTGTGACAGTGCCGCAGCGGGGCTCTCTCCTTAGACAGATGAGCTATGTGACCAACTGAAACACTTTCTTTAGGTTGCATTAAGCAAGAGTTCCGAGAGCTGGGCTGGATATCATCACACTTACACAGCGCTGTGCAACTCCGGAGACCTCCAGGTTGGTTAACATATGAACCTCATAATTAAAATACAAGCCTTAGTCCTGATGTATTTAACCTACCTCAAGATGACACCTTAAGATTAAAAAAGAATTTGAATTCAGTTTCAATCATTTTCAGGGTACCTTCCCAGATAAGTAAGTAATTGGGAACAGAAAACTTAGATGAAACACAGATTTCAGATCTTATTAGTTGTTATATTCCCCACTCCTTACCCCACCTCCAAGGCCATTGTAGAATCCATGGAAAAAAAGACTAAAACTGATTTGTATTTAGCAAGACAAATGTAAGGCGAGAAAGACAATATGGACAAGTCTCGATGTTTAGCTGAAGGACACAAAAATCCTCAGTACGGTAGCCCCTCTGTCTCAGGAAATGCTTACCCAGGGTTACAAGTAAAGTTGACCATGTTGGGGTATTCAAAAGTTGTATAGCGCACAGCTCCGTTCTCTAAGATACCAACAAACGGACACACTCTGGCTGTGAGGCAAAGAAAAAAAAAAAAAGGAAGTTTCTGTTTGTAGAATTTCCCCTTAATTGGTAGAAATAACTCAGCTGGGAGAGCGTTAGAGTGAAGAATTTCCCCTTAAAATAAAAATATATGAGCTCATCTTCATACATGACCCAATAACCTTACCAGAAATTATTCTCAGAAAGGAATTTAAAATAAGATAAATGATATGTGTATGTACCAATGTTCTGGTTCTGCTAATAACAGTTTAATCTAGATATTCCTTCTCAAGGGATTACATTTTGAGCAGTCAGCAGATGAACAACCAGGAAGCCAATAATATGAATTATGAAGACTATAAAGACTGTAATTTTTATGATGCATTGCTGAAAATTCAAAAATACAAAATTATGCATACTTGGTACAATGATGCAAAAGTATGGGCAGGGAAAATAATTTGAAAATAATATTTTTGTATTTCAGATGTGTTATGATTTAAAGCAAAATTTCCCGAAATGGTGGTTCAGTGATATTTTAATTGTATTTTTTTTAAAAAAAGTAGCCAGGTTTTATATTTATTAAAGGTATGAGAAGAAATGATACATATTCTGCAGAGTAAATGTAGGCCACTGAGAAAGAGCACAGAAGCAAATTAATGACAGGGATCTTGTGTACCTGAGCTATTGCTCAGGCTGACCTCCGACCTAGGTCATCCTGTCAAAAACCTGCTTAAATTTCTAACTAGAAAAATCATAGTGCTTTTTGATTGGTCTCAGGTGCAGGGCTTGGGAACCAAATCTTAATTTTTTTGTTTGTTTTTGTTTTTTGGGTAGAACCGGGGATTGAACTCAGGCCCTTGTGCTTGCCAGGGAAGCACTTATTCCACTGAGCCATCTCTCCAGCCCCAGTATTTAAGGATTTGGCTTGGGGTTCAGTGGTACAGCACATGCCTAGTGTATGTGAAGCCCTGAATTTATGCTGTAGTATTAAATAATAGTTTAGATTTTCTTAATAAAAAAGCATACTAGGGCTGGAAGTACAGCTCAGCAGCACAGCACTTGCCTGGCAAGCACAAGGTTGTGAGTTCAATTCCTGGTACCAAAAACAAAAAGACATAAAGACACACTTGCATGGACACATGTAATTATGACAAGGGCCAATGCGTATGTGACCAAAGTATCTAGAACTCACCTAGCTCCATATAGCTATTTGACTGCTTAACCTCTACATATAATTGCCTTAAACACAATAGTTGATTGCGTAGCATCTGAATTTGCGAAGTAAGGCCAGCGTGTTTCAGGAATAAATAAAATTAGCCATTTATAGTAAAACAGGAGTGAGATACATAATTTATATTAAATTTACATTATTGATATTTTCAAGGCAAATATTTGGTATGTATGCAGCTTAGATGAAATCTATATTCATTTTATTCAGCAACTATTAAATCTACTTTCATTTGGAAGTAAAGTCTGAAGATATGATAACACCCCAAGTTTTGCTTGTTCAAGTGTTTCTTTGGTGTCAGTTTTATATTTTGGAGTCTCCCACCTTGTCTTTTAACTTCTATATTATGCTCTAACTTTATTTAACTTTAACTTCTGTATTATTTCCTCCCCTTCGATTAGTCCAGAGCTCCTTTTGCGACCTTCCTGAGCTTGGCTTTCTCTTCTCTAAGCAGACCCGTCGCGTGTATTCCCTCGTCCCATGCAGCGCCTTCCACGCCCCTGCCTCTCGGCAGTCCTCCCCTGGGCAGCCCTCGCTCTCTGCGCCCGAGCGTGCCAGGGTCCGATATCTCCCTCCAAGTGCTCAGAGCCCGGAGCGGGGAGAGAACAGGAGCGAAGCACGGCCTCGCTACTTACGTGTGCATTTCAGAGTGTTGATGGGCCACATTCCTGTGAGAGGACAGGTGAACCTCCGCATCCCTCCCCGGGACACGTAGCCGGGGTTGCAGTAGTAGGTGATTTGCTCCCCAGGCTCATAGAATGTTTTTAGTGGAGTAATGGTGGAAAATGACACGTTTTCTGGCTGGGGACAAGCTGGAATAGAGCACAAAGCAGGGAGCGAAGAATCTCTATTCAAGATTTTTTTTAAGTATTATTATTTTTTCTTTTTTAAATTTTTTATTCATTTTAATGAGAAAAAAAGATAAAATAGCAATGAAACAGTTTCAAAACAGGTTAGTAGGACAGTTACAATAATTGATACATTGCATATTGTTGTCTTCGTAGTAGTTATTCAGAGGACAAGATGTACTAATAGTGTTTAGACAAGATATCATGTCTACATCTATTCACAATTTTAAATCCAGTTAGCCCTTAAATGAAATGTATTTATTGCTACCAACAATAAGTATAACAAATCAAAATCCACACCAAATACTTCATGCCTAATCCCCTCATTTGAAGTAGGTTCTATTATCCTCAAATAACAGGTCAATACACTGAGGCTTTGATTGGCTACGTGTGTTAAGGAAGAGCTTTAGGCATGAGGACATTCAGAGGTACGCATCAATTCAATCCATCCAGCATCTCCTTGAACTTAAAGTTATCACCGTTGACTTCTAATAGATACTAGGGGCTTGGCTATATTGATGATTTTGCAAAAGCAAAAGTTACTTACTCCGTCCTGCAATAGCAACATGGCAGAGAAAACCTGAGAGCAAGATGAGCCCTGGAGAAACCATTGTGGGTGACGCACGCTGGTCCCGCGAGGGTGGGTCTCCTCCGCTCCAAGGAGGGTTGCAAATATAAGTGCGCTTAAACATTAAGCCACTTTTTGAGTGACTTTTATCTCTGTAAATAGAAGATAAAATGTCATGATTTGAAAGGAACTTTGAGACATACATTCTTTAATCATTTACTCCACCTCTGGGAGCCGGTTGTGAAATCTGTGGTGGGTGGTTTCTCCTTTTCATTCTCTTTGGTGCATGACATGATTCTTCATGGCGCTAAACCGTTCATCACTGCATCCCACGGAAGGCTGCTAACTGCTGGGTCAGCTGACTCCTCACCCTGCATCTTGTGCTGTGTGTATGCTGTACCTGGATAACCAGAAGGCTGAAGTCTGTGCTTCCCCTACATCCTTATTTTATAAACTCAAGACAATCACTTACTCTCTGTACCTCCTTTGCCATAGTTCCAAAATGGTGCCCCATTTTCAGAATATAAAATTCTAAAGAACATAGTTAAGAAGGTACCATTTTATTGCCTTAAACATTATGGGACTTCTTTTGTCACAAATTCTTCCCATTTCTCTTTCATCCTCACTTAACAGCAAGATGTTCCTGGTAGTGCCAGTTGTGACCTTGGAGGTGACCTTGCATCCTCAGTAGTCTTTCATGTCAAGTGAACACAAACTGTTGCTCACCTACACATCCTACATCTTAGATCTGTGCGCAGATTCCTAGGTCTGCTGTTTTTGTTGTTGTTGTTTGGGTTTTTAAAAATTATTTTTTAGGGAAGGGTCTACAAGGTGTTCAGGGTCTCACTACTAGATTGAACTCATAGTGATCTGCCTGTTTTCAGGCTCCCAAGAGCTGGGACTACAGGTGGGCCACCATGCCCAGTCTCCATTGCAGTCTCAGCATGCCCAGGGGAGTGAACCTCCAGCCCCTGCATCTGCTTGCAGGTGCTTTAATCTGCTAAGCTATTTGGCCGGCTCTCCTAGGTCTGTTTTAGGAATTGGAAACTTGATGTGGGACTCAGAGAAGAAAAGAAATTGATTAGGAAGAGAAAGAAAGGGCCAACAGGAATAATGTCACTTGGGAGTCCTGAGGGGGACATTCAGGGGTCCACAGTTGTCTGTCTAAAGCATCCCTTCTTCCTAAGAGACTAAACTTACAAATGGATAAGGCTGAGCCATACAGGAAAATAGCAAAACCACAAAATTCAAAATCTCAGTAGCAACTGGTCTAGAGAGCCAAACCACAAACTCTGCTGCAATTGGTCCAACTACAGAAAACCAAGCATGTTTCCAATCAATCTCAAAGGATGTCCCACATTTATAAGCCCATCTTCATCTTTCCCACCCCACCGACAATAACTCCAAGGTTGTACTTTAGTGTGAAGAATTTTCCCCGTGGGTGGAGAAGAGATAAAAAAGTAATGAAGTCAAGACAGACCAACTCATTTTGCATAATGGTGATCTAAGTTTGCTGGCAGAGGAGGTTGGGTCTTAGGAAAAAGAAATTTGAAAGAGGTTGAAAATGGAAAAGAAAGTATTTCTTTCAGAAGCTATAGGTGGAGTGATCAACATTAAGATGAGCTGGGATGACAAGAAAGTTATTTAAAGATGTTCGCCAATAGCTATAATGTCTTGCATGAGGAAATTTTATGGAAGGGAAAATCATCTCTGTCTTCTCTGGAGTTTTACTTGGGTACTTGCAATCATCAAAACTCATCCAACTAAGCATTTAAGACCTATACATTAGCTTAATTATATCCCAATTGAAAAACAATGCCCCTATTCTTTCCAGAGTGATAGCAATATGGAAATGAATACATACGTGGGAGATACCAAAGTTTTCTCTTATAATAGGCTGTCAACTAATGAAGACAATTGGGAGAATGACATTATTAATGGGACTTTTTAAAAACATCATAGAAATACTTAACTGTGGCAAGAAATATCAATATATGGTAAAACTAGAGTGTACAGGTAGAATGAGAAATAAGATGCCTCTCCAGCCCTAAAAGTGTCTCCACATAAAAGAATATTTATTGCAGAGGGAAAGAAGAGAAATTTATTAGGGGAGAAGCTGGCAGACACCATCCGAATCAAGTAATCAAGATTAATACCATCATTAATGGGACACAGACATTGTGCACCCCGCCACAGGATGCAATGAGAAGAAAGCAGTGCCACTTGGCATTATTCCTATTAATAACATGATAATCATATTTTTAAAAAAAAATTGTACAAAAAAAAAGGTGAAGGACCCTCTGCAAAATGATTGTACTACAATCTTCCAAAAGGCAAAGACCCTGAAGGGGAAAGAAAAGACTGCGGAAATTTCCGGAGACATAGCAAGTAGTGACCAGTGAGATCCTTTTCCTGTAAGGGCCTATGAGGACACCTGGTAAAATTTGCACGGGGGTTTCTGGATTAAGAGTATATGGAGATGAGCACGATGATGCATGCCTGTAATCCTGGCACTCCGGAAGCTTGCAGATTCAAGCCCAACCTGGAACTTAGTGAGACCCTGGCATAAAATTTAAAAACTAAAAAAAAAAAAAAAAAAATGGTTTGGGGTATAGAGTTCATTGTGAGGGTCCTGACTCTTCAATCTTCAATACTATTTTTTAAAAACATGGACTTTTTTGTTTCATTCCTGCAACTTTTCTCTCTGTGGTTGAAATGAAAATGAATTTAAAATACAACTAAGACAGGAAAAGAAATGTGCTTTTTACAGTTTACTTGAGACTACTTGTAGGGCTGAGGATATAGCTCAGTGGAATAGCACCTGCCTGGTGAGTATGAGGTTGTCAGTTTGATTCCTGGTCCTGCCCCCCTCCCCCCCCACACACACAGAAAAGATAGAGTACTTTCAATGGCTTACTGTTGGGGACTTAGGGGCTGTTGCTTTAGTGTTGGAGATGGAACTTAGAACCTCATGCGGCCCTGAGTTGTACCCCGTTCCCAAGAAACTATTTTTAAACCACACCTCCACTTGGTTTTGTATCCCCCTAAAGATCAGTGCACAAGTGGGTAGAATTTAAAATGCTCTCAATTGTAAGTTTTTTCTCCTCTTCTCCCTTGTCTCTCAACTTTGACATCTGGGTCCTATCTGCCAGCTACTAAACTTTGAAAGATGATGCAAAATAACAGGGACAGAAAATGAAGAAATAGCTCAATCAGACAGTCTAACAGGAAATCATGTGTTCTTGCAGTTGTTATTTTTATTCTCTAGCTAATAAAAGTTTCCCTTGATTCTACACTGAAATGCAAACATGATGGAAGACAAATTGCACAATTAATACATCAGATATTAATCCCAAGTGCTTTGCCTGTTGAACATGTCTGAGAGCTACAAAATTTATCCAAAACTCTTCCAAAAATCCACAGAGGTCTCAACAAATGTCTTTTGGAGAGATGCAACGAAGCTGGACCATGCTATCATTTCCATCTTCCTGTCTGTGGCACACTATTCTGCACAACTTCAGCACTATGTAGTTGATCTGTTGACTGACCTATCTTTCATTCTATATTCATCAATACATACTTCAAGAACTAGGTCTTAACCAAGGTCTTAACCATCTAGCAGAAAAGTATAAAAACGAAGTATAAGAAGTAAAGCCATGCTGTTATGTTGAGCTGTAGGGGACTCAGGTCAACAATTTCTGACATTCCCAGTCAAGCGGAAGACCCAATACTTTTATGGGCTACTGGACTCTTTTAGAATATTTTGCTGAGTTTACACACCTGTAATAATTCAAATAACGGAACTTAACAAAAAAGGGGATACAGATGAATGTCCATTTTGTATCTGTGTATTCAAAGTGGTTAGGATAGATATATAGTTACATTCTCTTAATGAATAGAGGGATTTGTTCTAATGGTGTTTGTAAATAGGATATCATGTTCGCATCTCGTACAGCAATTAACCATTAGGAAGAGAGTATGCAATGTGTTAATTATTGAAACTGTCCTACCAATTTGGTTTGAAACTGTCTCATTGTTATTTGTTTCTCAATAAAATTATGGAAAAAAACAAAAAATAAAAAATTATGGGAAAAAAATAAATAATAACCTAGATTTTTAAAAAATAAATAAATTAATTAACTAATTAATTTTTAAAAACCAGAGAAACTGACTGGTAGTTGATGTTAAATGACATTAAAAGACACAGCTAGGGATAGGGAGATAGCTCAGCAGCATGGGCACCCACCTGGCAAGCGCAAGGTCTTGAGTTCAATCTCCAGTCCTGCAAGCTGTACTGACCATGGCATACTGTGTCGGCCCTAGAACCGATCATGGTGATGCAGGCCTATAATCCCAGCACTGGAGAGGCTGAAACAAGAGGATCACTATGAGTCTGAGCTATATAGAGAGACCCTGACTCAAAAAATAATAAAATAAAAAATAAAAACACAGCTACATTTACAATTGGAAATTAATTTGGCAGGACAAATAGAAAAACATTCAGAAAAATAATCCAAGGAATTTTGACAACTATGTGGTTGTTTTATATTGGTGGGGTTTATACTCACCAGTAAAGATTAGCAATCTTTAATTTAATGTTACACCTATAATGTTACATTTGAACAATATAAATAAAAGTTCATAGACATTTAGACACTCAGATTGAGGAACATCAGGGACAATTTTCTCCCAAAATGATAAAGCCTTGCACTTGGAATTCTTAATAACTTAATCGTCTCCTACCCTTCTTCATAAATTAAATTATAGAAACCTGGGTTCAGAGTCCAAAGTTTTGTATTCCAAAAGTGACATTGCTTAACATGTTTGACATCTTTCTTATTTACTTTACAAGCAGAGACTTTGACCATATCATTCAACATTTAGCAACAATACTTTCAATGTTGTCTTAATCTGGGATGGAATTCTAGCCATGTTTACCAAGAAAGCTTTAGCGGAAAGTTGCAGGTGCCGGTGCTCCTACAGTAATAAAACCAACCGGTCAGGAGCTATGTAAACATTTGCATGGAAGATAAGGAAACGTCTTCCAGGGCTAGTGGGGGTGGCTAGCCATGGCTAGAAATGGACAGTCACTTTAGGTCAGTCTGAAACCTCTTTGTGTAGA